ATGCTTGTGCTGAAAGTCGGTCGGTTACCATGTAATCCTTGGAGTATTCTCCAGAATCTACCAACTGTCTTGTTTGCTTTTCGCGCATTCTCCTGAATCGAAGCATCTCAGAATCGCAGATAGTACATAATCGAAAAGTGTGAGTCTCAGAGAAGAAGGGCAACATTCCCTGATTACGACTCCAAAAACTTTTCCGCACAAACTCTGCCTGTAGCTATTACTTGGTGCCATGATCACAATATGGACTCGTTTTTGACGCTTGGTACTTGACGCTGATATATGCCAATTTGGCGCAACCACCTTTCTCACCAAAGTGGCTTGAAGTACGAGGAGTTGTGACATCCTGACCATTATTATCAAACTAGTTTTTGACTTCGCTGGTGCTGATTTGGCGCGACTACCTCATTACCGAGATTCATGGAAACCCGCATTGCAGTCTTGATTGATATCCTAACATGTATACGGCATTCACTTTTCTGCCAGCGCCAACTGACCCCCCGCCCTGCTAAGGCTGAGCCTGGAGGGGGTTCGCTTTCCACAAGCTTAGCCTTTGCAGAGCGCAGATCATCACAATGCCCTACTTTACCGCCAGCGCCAAGAATGAATGTCATATTCGTGACCAATATGTATGATAACCCATAAAAGTTTTCTTCGATTTTTATGAGAAGAGGGCAGCTCAGTTCTATTATGCAGGTTTTCATCGCTTTTGATGTGAAAAATGGCTGTACCAAATGGCGCCGGCGCCAAAAAGCTATCATATTCGCTATCGGGGCAACGAAGTAACCTCTGTGGGCGGGAACTCAGAAAAAAATCCCCTGAGGTTTTGGAGTCGTAATAGTGGATTGGTGCCAAAAAGTGATTGTCTAGAAAGCGAATCTCGTGTTTCAGAAGTTCCTCACAGTAGTTGAGTTTTGCTTGATTTTGAAATTTTCTGTTCAAGGGACGAATAATCGATCTGGTGAAAACTGATGCAACAAATTTTTCACGTGTAACTTTCTTGGTATTTGACGAAGCTGATCGGATGTTCGACATGGGTTTTGGTAAGAAAGTTTCTGCGCGATTACACAGTATGAGACATTCTTTTATGCATGAATCTATATTTCAGAAGCCCAAGTGAAATCCATTTCTGACCACATCCGTCCCGATCGCCAATGTCTAATGTTCAGTGCGACATTCAAACATAAGGTAACACTTGAACTAAGGTAGCGTTCATACTTCGTGATTGCAGCCACGATCGCCGATCGCAGTGTGACCATGTGCGCCTCTGCGCTACTAGTCGGATCCCTGCTATCTCTCGAAGCTGGGGAGCGCTCGGTCATAAGTCGCGATCGCCCCAATCCTTACGATCGCTTTGATCGCTGTAATCGCGAACTATAAACGCTCTCTTACTAGCAGTTTCGTTCATTGATTGGTTTTACGAATTCCATATCTCCACTAGCCGGTATGGTTTTCATTTGGCAGTGTGCCCTTTGTTTCATTGGGTGGCTAGGGCTCTTTATTTTCATGTGTGAACTGTCACAGTGCTGGTAGCTACCCAATAGGGCATAGCTCGACCAAAATCATTTGGCTCAATGACGTTTGCTTGCTCTCCTGCTTGTGCTACATTTTATCACAAATTATCATTTTTTTTACTTATCGAAAATCATTTCAGGTAGAGCGTTTAGCAAGAGATGCTCTGTGTGATCCAGTACGTATTGTCCAAGGAGAAGTTGGCGAGGTAAAGCTACCTACAAATTTTGTAATGGTACCCTATAAATGTTGGGAGTGATCCTGGGAGTAATATTTGTCTCTCTGGAATGTCTTCTTTTAGGCTAATGCTGACGTTATACAAACTGTAGAAGTACTACCACGGCAAGACACCAAGTGGGTATGGCTTACAGAGAGGCTTGTGAATTTTGGAACAAGTAAGTTAGAGATTTAGTTAAAATATTGTTAGGAGGCTTCGCTTTTCATCTTCCATCATAATAAGTTCTCTTTCCAGTGGGTAAAGTACTGATCTTTGTTACCAAGAAGATCAACGCTGAAGACCTTGCAAAGAAGCTCAAGGTAGGTTTGTCAACGTTGAAATGCGTATTCCCTCTTCAAGTTGGTTTTTATAGGCTCGGGATTTCGATCTGGTCTTGCTACATGGAGATATGCTGCAGCATGAACGAAACGAACATCTTCAAGCGTTTCGTAAGAAAGTTAACATTATGGTGGCTACTGATGTTGCAGGTTTGTCGTTCACGTGTTTTTTTTGCCTGGTGATTACGGTAAACGGAATAACATGCTTCCTTGGAATTACGAGCACGTTGAATGTCAATGGATCTTTTGTACTTCCTTACCCAAGCTGTATAAGAGTAGAAGATCACTTTGTGGAAGTCTTGATACACGTAGGATAATGCGTTTGGGGAGCTCTATGTAAACTTCTGAAAACATACCGTACAATTTTATAATTTTAGTAGTCCTGTTAACTCTTGTAAAGTTGCGAATTGGTCACCCGAGTATCTGGCAAGACAGTCGTGATATGCTACAGTCTTGATACCGCGCTGGGCGTTCAACGCGACGTCACGCGTGCGAGGACGATTTCGAGTGCCCGGCCATTAGAATTTGAATTATGAAGGGACAAGAGAGTCTGATATTATCCGGTACAGAGTCTTGCTTTTACTTGCATTCATATGAATTTCGTTCCTCCGAACGAAATTCATATGAATACAAGTAAAGGCAAGGCAAGATTCCGCCGCACGTTGCGCGGCGCATCACGATTGTCTTGTCCATCTTCCGGCTTACCCACTCCCTTAGATGCTTCCCTCTTAGGCATAGACAAAAATTTTATCCACTTACCAGTAACCGTTCCATTCCACCGCTCTTCTATCTTCCAGCTATGAATGTCGTCCATCATTGAGAAATCGAAGAAATGTACAAATGAAACTGGCGGTTTTGTGGTCTACAGGAGTTTCCACAAGTTGCCCGTTGTGTTGATATCGGTCCGGAAATTGTGGGCGTGACATTGCCCTCAAGCCGGCATTCCTAGCTAGTCGACTCGGCATGGCTTTAGCGTAAACACAAATGTGTCGCGAGCTGGGAGTGAGATAAAGTCGTGAAATAAGTAGCTTAGGACGTAGTAGGCTGAGAAGTACAACTTACTTGACGCCAAAGTGCTGTGTAGAGTTACCGAGCTAGATATACTACATGGTTTACGAGCGCTACCGTCACCGTTGACGTCGAACTACACCCTGTTGACAATAGTTAACAAAATGCCCCCCCCCCCTCCGTCCTCCATAGCGGACCTGAAAACGCTAGATACTTGATGAGAACGAGAATGCATCATTGGTGGTTGTTGTGGGAGGGTAGGGATAAAAGAAGTAATTTCTTGTTCTTTCCAACACAGCATACCATGTTCTTCTCGCTGTGCTTCTGTTAAACGATGACAGTGGACATCCTGGCGTCAAGGAACGATTCGAAGGCCTTCAAAATGACTTCGCGCCTTCTGGAACCCTCTGCGCCTTGATGAAGATGATCCCGCTTTTATCCATCAATGGCGCGCGATGAGGAAGTTATCGCAATTTCGACAAGGCTCGCTAGGCTCACTAGAAGCG